AGGAATGACCAGGTGATGGGGACACAAGAGGAGGACTGTGCCCCCTGAGCAGAGCAAGGAAGCACTGAGTGAGATGGCACAAGGAACCCTGTGACAGAGGGAAGCTCCTCCTGCCACATGAAGCTAAAGGAAGCCAGGTGACTGTGTGGGCACAGCTCAGCCCTAACATCAAGCACACCCTTTGTACAGGACTGGCTGCACGTTAGATGAGGAGGGGCTTTTGCTGTACCTGGCTGTCCAGTCCCAAGAAGACCAGCATGAGGAAGAAGAGGCAGGACCAGAGCTGAGACACAGGCATCATTGTTACTGCCGTTGGATATGCTATGAAAGCCAGGCCAGGACCTGCCAACAGACCACAGGATGACCATGTGTGCCCCCCACGCCACCACCTGCCATCATCACCCCGTGGTTCAGGGTGAGTCACACACTGCTTCAAAGCTCATATCACCACAGATCTTTGTCCACACTGTGTTGGGAAGCACTGGTCCTGCAGACACTCATAGTGATGGAGATGTAGATAACATCCTGGGATTAATTTCTGAAAAGCCCCCTCCCCTTCAGACTTTCTGGTTTGCCTTGACCCTGAAGTCTCATGGAAAAACCTACCTGATTCAGCCACTTCTGCAATGGGTACACCTTGCTCTCGAGACATGAAGCCCAGCACAGAGAATATGGCAAAACCAGCAACCAAGCTGGTGGTACTGTTCAGGAAGCAGAGCATGATGCAGTCCCTGCAGGGGGGAGACTGGAGATAAATCATTGTTTCCCACTGCAGAACTGGTCCACCTGGGATCATGTCTGTATCCAGCTTCCCTAGTCAGACAGCATGGATCAAGGAACAGCAACGCTGCTCTTGAACTCCATCAGAAGTAAAAAGCTTGAAACAGAGACAAAAATCAGCCTACCTACCTAATACCCCACTGTTCAAGAGTTATAGAACTATACGTGGCACAAAGAGAGACAAGGCACCACCAGTGGCTTGTGAATGGGATGCCACGATATACATAGGGTCGTGGCAACAAAAAACTTGACAGGAGTAAAGAGAATAAGAAAAAACACACAGAAAGTGAGGAGAATAACAAACTAGGAAACGGAAGTGGCTGCAATAGTAAATATAGTCAAGAAAGATGGACATGTGCACCACCCAGAGCTAAGCTGTCAGTCCAAGGCACCTAAGGCTTTAAAGGAGGGTGTCAGTGCACCGCTCCATTGGTGGCAGGTATATTTTGGGAAAGCCAAAGGAAAGCATTAATTGTGTGACCCACAGCTGTGGCAGCACCTATTGGAGAACAGAAGAGGAGAGATGATTAATGTCTCTCAAGTACCATTACATTTTCACATCCATGCTGGAGCAATACATGAAGGAATAACAAATTTCCTGCTCCTTGGGGCTCTGTGGAAGGTGTCAGAAATGGTCCTGAATGGCTCCACTGAGCTCCAGCTCGGGCCACAGATAATATATATGTGTAATTCAAGGGCCACGAGGAGGCCAGACAGACTCAATTAATCTCCTTGATAGGACAGAAATGCCACTGGCAGTACATTACCCTGATGGTAGTAAAGCACTGGAGACAGGGGGCCCAGCCATCATCTTTGTACCATCTCCCCTGCCTAGTAAGTGACAGCAAAGGTGGCCATGCCACCCCTGAGCACTCCTTCTGTCAAAATAGCCTGTGGTGTCTCCACAGTGGCTGAAGGCACTCTCCATTTTCAAACCTCCCCCTCCTCCAATCTCTCCCATTTCCAGGCTGACTCATGCAGGAAAGCATTACTAAAGCCATTTTCTGGAGCCCCTGTGTTCCCTCAGCTACTCTCCATCCTATGCTTTGGCCTCTGCAGCTTCCACAATCTGAGCAGCTTGTTAGTCAAAGCAGCATGACCCAAAGTCTTCCCTGCGGACAGAGCCTGCCTCAAATGCATCTCTGTGCTGTTTATGTCAGCACGCTTCTGGAAGGATACAAGGAGCCCAGGCTGCTCTTACCTGTAACAGTTGTTGTTGTATTTGTTGTAGCTGCCCAGAGCTGTTAGGCACCCCTGGCAGATGGCATAAGAGAAGAGGATCTGAGTGCCCGCATCCATCCAGACCTGGAACAGAGAAGGTCAGTGGTCTCCAGACCTGGCAATAAAATAGACAAATGGCTGTGCCCTCTCTAGCAACAACCCTTCCATCCATGCAGAACAAACCCCATGAGACAGAAAGGGACTCGTTGGATGTTAGAAACTGGGATTTCTGTCCTGCAAAAGTAAGCTATAGGACTGAAAAACCTTAGGAGGAAAAGCCTCCTAAGGGGACCATATTTTCACACCTCACCCAGGGTAACACTGCTTCTCCATCCTGTGCCTTTGCATTCTTCTTGGAGACAGCACCCCTGGTAGCACGGCTCTGACTGAAGTTAACGCTGCAGGTGTCTGTGGTCCCTACATGGCTCAGGGTTCACACTGGTAAATCGTCCCAAATGAGTGCCAGAGAGTCCTTTGTGTGATCAACGTATTCATTCTCTACTCTCCAAACTAGTTCCCCACATCTCTGAGGCCACTGTGTGGATGAAGGGCAGAATATCTCCAGGCTGAGAGATTTCAGGCCAGTGGGGGAACCAGGTTCCCCTTTGCTCTGTCATTGCATGGGAAAAGCTGAGTGGGGTTGCCCACCACTGCTCCCACCCTCTCGTCCATGGAGGAGTCCCTTCGCTCCATGTGTTATGGGCGAAACTCTTACCCTCCCAGGGACAGCCCTGTAGGCAGGCAGGAAGACAGCCCACCTTCTGTTTGTCTGTGTGTTCCTCTCACTCCATTTTTCCTCTAAGCAGCCCAAGCTGCAAACATCCAGGCAGCTGCAATTTTGCAGCCTTCAAAAAATCCCAGCCCAGGCATTGCTGCTTAAATTTACATGGGTCTCTCACAGATAGGCACATACATGGGAGCCCACCAGGCACAGGCACACATCCTGCTTTACACCAAAGCCCCACATTGTGCCTAAATTTGGTAGGAGCTCTCCGTCTTGCTATGCTGGGTTGCAGCAGCCTGGAAAGACCATGTCAGCTTTAGTTAGGCTGTGAAAGATAGGGAGGTTTTCAGTGAATAAGCCCTGACCATGAACAAAACACACTCAAGCCCGGTCACCCGCCTGTTATTTATTTTGATGTTAAAATGCCATTTTCATTCAGCTGGCTCTTCTCATTCGGCACACCACAGACTTTGTATTGACAACACATAATTGCATCTGAAAGCCATTTGGGGGAAGACAGTGTGTTTGGCAGCTGGTTTGGGAGCAGTTGGGGCTTTGGCCATCTGGGAAGATGCAGGAGGTAAGCTAAGACTGCAGGCTAAGCATGCTTGGCTTATTGCTTGGCTGCCTCCATGAAAAGATTCAGAGGGGGAATAATTACCAGCAGTGTCATTTAAATGCTCTTCTGGGGAGGGTCTGCATTAACACCTCCCTGGGATGGCAGAGGCAGCCTGCACAGCATTGCTGAGCCCACACTGGGAAGGGAAGCAATCTGCTGCTACAGAAAGGTGATGTAGCAGACCATGCTGTGAGGATGTTCCAAGGGGGGGTCCTGCTGCGTGCCCGCCCTGTGCAGCCCCCAAGGGAGCTTCCCACCTTCTACAGCTTGGGCTGTCCTGCATATCCTGGGTTTGGCTGCACCCTCTGCCCTAATCTGGACAGGTCCTCCCTCGGTACGCAGCATCTTCCATGCCACAGGGGTTTCCATGAGCTCCAGTGAGCACTGTTAGGGGCTGACCCTTTGGCCAGCCCCTAACCCAGACAGGTAGGACAAGCCCGGGGATGGGTGAAGGGAACCTGCTGCCCAGCTGGGGCACAGCCCGTGTTACCCATGTGCATTTGGTCTCTGCAAGCACAGAGGGCCTGGCAGGGGGAG